CTTCATTTATACAGGATATCTATCCAGCTAGAAATTTTGTTCGGCTTATCGAAAAAAACAATAAGAAAATCGTAAATAAAAAGTACGCTCTGGTCTTCAATCAAACCTGTATAAATAATATTAATGTATACAAGTAACAACTCACTATCTTCTAACGGAAGTTGTCGTTTGCAAGTTGTGATCACCTGTGAACACAAGTAACAAAAAAAAAAGAGGAAAATAATCTTCATTGAGCAAAAGCTCAATCAAAGCTTCATTGCTCAATGAAGATTGGAGCGAAATCTTCATCTGTCGAGCCTCATCTTATTAACTTGCATATAAATGGAGCAATTTTCTACTCGTCTATTTGTGAATGTTCACAAGTTATGTCAGGTCCAGGTGAATATTTTTCAAGACAATAGCGTTGCATAACTCTAACAGTGCACAGAATCTCGTTGTGTAACATTTCTCTTGGGGAGCAGCAACCGATGCGACCTCATGTTTTCCTCTCATAGTCTTCATAAAATTGATCATCAGTAAAATGCGTCCTGCATCAATGATGAACGCTACTGGAAAACTTTGTCTAGTTTTAAACCAAAACACGAGTTCCATTAACGCTCATTAGAAACTGTCCAAGCCGGAGAGGAAATATCAGGAGCTCGGGGATCTCAAATTATTCGGAAGATCTTCTTTGCGTTAAATATTCTAGCGCCTTCCGAAATAATGATAGTAACTTTCTGCTAGAAATTCCATCCGAGTTCAAAATTATCATTGCAACGAACCATACAAAAATATTGTTCCTCTTGAATCGAAAACTTTTGACAAGTTTGTAGTAACTTTTGAAAAGTCCAAGACAAGATTATATCAAGAAAAAATGTCAGCAAGAAGTTTTACAGTGACCTGCACGATAATTCATCTTAAGCTAGCATTTTCTACACTTTTCGCATAACTAAGGCGAACATGACTCAGTCATCTTTACAGAGAGCAGAAACGACTAACTCCTTGTGCGAAGATATCGTCGCTATGGACGTTTTAGTGGTAGTCCCAGCGTGAATAATCTAGCGGAAATGTGCGACAATGCAAGGAAGAAATCTCCCGCAAACTTGAGACGGAGGTAGTGTCTCTGGAAGGTCTACAAGATTCAACATAGAGCTGTTCAATAATGAAGTCTGGACAAGAACTACCCGCAAGGTAACATTTCAAGAAAGTCCGTTGCGTCGTGTACATGTCCAAGACGTCCGACCAAGAAAGTTGGGAGACAAGGCCTCTCCTGTCGCTGTCTGCAGCATTTCGCTGCTCGCCTTTCCTTAGTTGATGGATTTTCATCTTATTCTGCCAAAGTTGAGATAAATTCTAAAATCTGTGTCTATGATGGACAAGAAAAACTATAAATATAGAAATTTATAATGAACTAGTTCGTAAGCGACGAGCTGATTCATTTTAAATAAACTCAAAAACAATCTCATTAAAAAGTTTTCAACTGTATGAATTGAATCAAGGAACAGAAACAAATTTTTACATAACAGTAACATGTTTTTTTTAAAAATTAAAACGTTTTTTTCTGAGAGAACAATGTTTTATTGTCACAAATAAGGGTGGCAGAATCATTTCGCAATTACCTTGCTACATTTTCTAGCTTCATTTGATTTACCAAAAGATAAATCGGCAGATTCTGAAAGGAAACACTGTTGATCGTACGATTTATTCATGAGAAAATTTTAGGTGTAATTTATGGTCATACTCACTTACCATTTACGACGTGTAATACACGATTGTTCCCACGTACTACTTATAAAATGCAATTATTTACTACTGACCTGATCCGTAATCACGTGTCATTCGTTGTTCGACCCACTAACTAACCATTGATGACGCGAAAGTTACACAAACTTCACTTACTCCAATTAATGAATTGGTCAAACCCTAAAATACTGCTAAAATAAAACGTATTCAATACTATAAACTGTAAAAATACAAGAAAAGCGCTGACGACGAACACTCAATTCCGTCCAATCGACGCCAACTCCATGCGAGCACCAGAATGTAGTTCACGCTCTCTAGCATTGCGGCGAGCGCGCTTGTATATTCGTTGGATGCACATAATAGCCGATGATTAATCGGCTTGTGTGGCGTAGAAGTTAATGTGCGGGGAGGCTTGAGTGGCCCTCATTAATTATGGGCCAAAGTGGCGCCACAAGTCTGGGCGCTCCATACACAGATTGCGCTTCGCCTTCCTTCACGCAAGACGAAGATTGATTTTTGCGGCGTTAGGGCTATCGACGCCTCCGAGTGTCACTTCGACACTCGCCAGCAGCCGACTCAAGAAATACATCAAACATTCACCTACTTTCAATAGGAGCAAAGGATTTTTCATTGCAAATTTAAAGTAAATATTTATTACAGAGGACATTTTGGAACGGAAACTTTGATTGAATACGTCATTCATTCGTTTTAATAAGTAAAACGATTGAGTTGCAATGATTGTATCTCAGCCAGTACACAGGCTTAGAAAGGTGCAAAAATACATAACCAAGCTCACTGAAAACGCTGCAACGTCGAAAAAAAAATAAATATAAATAAAAACATTCGTTCCACTCTTTCAGTTTGTGATGCAATGACCCATATTCCACGTGAATCGCTGTAATTTACGCCATCTCTCTTATGAGGCGTGGCGTTAATTGAGTCAATGCGGTCAACCGTGACGCAAGCCAAGTTGTCTCCTAAGAGATACCATCCAAAATTAAATTCACTTCAACTCCATTCGTAAAAAAGATTACCGTAAGAAATTTTTATTGATATTTCCAAGATTTTTTTCAAAGTTTAAACATTAAGATGAATTAGGGAAATTTTATATTACAATGCTAAATTTTACCACAGATCTTCGTGAAGCGGTTGCCTTCTATGCCTCTTTTCGGGATGTTCATTTCACTTTACATTTATACTCCCCTGCTGATCAGTATATCAGTCTACGTGCAGCAGATGCTATGACTTGAAACTAAAGGCAGAGCTGGGCAAAGAGCTGTTCAATAATGAAGTCTGGACAAGAACTACCCGCAAGGTAACATTTCAAGAAAGTCCGTTGCGTCGTGTACATGTCCAAGACGTCCGACCAAGAAAGTTGGGAGACAAGGCCTCTCCTGTCGCTGTCTGCAGCATTTCGCTGCTCGCCTTTCCTTAGTTGATGGATTTTCATCTTATTCTGCCAAAGTTGAGATAAATTCTAAAATCTGTGTCTATGATGGACAAGAAAAACTATAAATATAGAAATTTATAATGAACTAGTTCGTAAGCGACGAGCTGATTCGTTTTAAATAAACTCAAAAACAATCTCATTAAAAAGTTTTCAACTGTATGAATTGAATCAAGGAACAGAAACAAATTTTTACATAACAGTAACATGTTTTTTTTAAAAATTAAAACGTTTTTTTCTGAGAGAACAATGTTTTATTGTCACAAATAAGGGTGGCAGAATCATTTCGCAATTACCTTGCTACATTTTCTAGCTTCATTTGATTTACCAAAAGATAAATCGGCAGATTCTGAAAGGAAACACTGTTGATCGTACGATTTATTCATGAGAAAATTTTAGGTGTAATTTATGGTCATACTCACTTACCATTTACGACGTGTAATACACGATTGTTCCCACGTACTACTTATAAAATGCAATTATTTACTACTGACCTGATCCGTAATCACGTGTCATTCGTTGTTCGACCCACTAACTAACCATTGATGACGCGAAAGTTACACAAACTTCACTTACTCCAATTAATGAATTGGTCAAACCCTAAAATACTGCTAAAATAAAACGTATTCAATACTATAAACTGTAAAAATACAAGAAAAGCGCTCACGACGAACACTCAATTCCGTCCAATCGACGCCAACTCCATGCGAGCACCAGAATGTAGTTCACGCTCTCTAGCATTGCGGCGAGCGCGCTTGTATATTCGTTGGATGCACATAATAGCCGATGATTAATCGGCTTGTGTGGCGTAGAAGTTAATGTGCGGGGAGGCTTGAGTGGCCCTCATTAATTATGGGCCGAAGTGGCGCCACAAGTCTGGGCGCTCCATACACAGATTGCGCTTCGCCTTCCTTCACGCAAGACGAAGATTGATTTTTGCGGCGTTAGGGCTATCGACGCCTCGGAGTGTCACTTCGACACTCGCCAGCAGCCGACTCAAGAAATACATCAAATATTCACCTACTTTTAATAGGAGCAAAGGATTTTTCATTGCAAATTTAAAGTAAATATTTATTACAGAGGACATTTTGGAACGGAAACTTTGATTGAATACGTCATTCATTCGTTTTAATAAGTAAAACGATTGAGTTGCAATGATTGTATCTCAGCCAGTACACAGGCTTAGAAAGGTGCAAAAATACGTAAATACGTAATATTAATAAAAACATTCGTTCCACTCTTTCAGTTTTTGATGCAATGACCCATATTCCACGTGAACCGCTGTAATTTACGCCATCTCTCTTATGAAGCGCGGCGTTAAGAGTCAATGCGGTCAACCGTGACGCCATGGTTGAACTATAAACTACCAGTTCAACCATGCGTGACGCAAGCCAAGTTGTCTCCTAAGAGAAATTAAATTCACTTTAACTCCATTCGTAAAAAAGATTACCGTAAGAAATTTTTATTGATATTTCCAAGATTTTTTCAAAGTTTAAACATTAAGATGAATTAGGGAAATTTTATATTACAATGCTAAATTTTACCACAGATCTTCGTGAAGCGGTTGCCTTCTATGCCTCTTTTCGGGATGTTCATTTCACTTTACATTTATACTCCCCTGCTGATCAGTATATCAGTCTACGTGCAGCAGATGCTATGACTTGAAACTAAAGGCAGAGCTGGGCATTCCGCCCTAAAATTTGTTGTAAGTCAAAATAACGCCTCAAACCGAAAATTTCCAGTACAAAACAAATTTCCCCAATACCACGATTTATATGACTGTTACGTGATCAATGAATATCAAATGTGAAGAGGTTACAAAAAAGACACATTATAATACTTCAGTATATTTGCGATACGAATGTTAACATTAATTATAAACTCTATCGATAGTGACGCGAAGAAGTAATTGTAGCGCTTCAGTCGTGAAGATATGTACACACGTTCCAGAATAGCCTTGGACACACTAAGTGGGACAGTAATATTCCAGAGGACTCTCAATTATGGTCAGTGTGGGCGATAGAAAGTTTTGGGGCACTGCCACAAAACCGGCACTACTGTAACAGTAGTGGTATTCGTAGCACCAGAATCAATACCGAAGACCGCCAATTGAACTAAATACATGATAAAGTTCAGGACCATTAAACTAGCACTAAGTTTCCTATTAGTCGACCATAAAGAAAATCTAAGCACAAGTTTACACAAAATAGTTTTGTGATATATTTCAAGACATTGCAGCACGAGTTGCAGTGAGAGAAGGCAGGCAACAGGAGCTCGCCGACACTTACCGAATCCTAATTTTCCTAGAATTGCACCTTGCGTCATGACATGAATGCGATCATTGCCATCATTACCTTATACACCGACATTAAGAATCAGTTGAGGTTTTACGAAGGCCATTTTAAAGCAGATAGTACACTAATGTGTTATAACCAGGTGTAGATTATAGACGTTTTCTACAAGGCCCATGATTTGCAGTACAATATTGACTCCGTTTTGAAATTTTGTATGCATCCATAATAGACCAGTATAATTTTAAGCTAATATTATTTCGTTGTCGTAACAAATTAAAGAGGTTCGGGCCAGGAACAAGATGCTGCGTTTACAAATGTCTTAGCCAGTTTTACCAGCATTGATTAGTATACATTTTTCTAGCAAATACATAGGAGATAGTAATCACTAGCGAATACAGATACGATACTCATAATAGCAAGAGGAGAAATCGACCAAACTTACAAGCTCTGAATATATATATTAATAAATATACATACACGATGGAAGAACAAACTGATCACTTGCATAAGAGCACGAATCGAAATAGGCCCGTTCAAAAACCAAGCATTCAATCAATTGCCAAGTAATTCAAACTACTTGGATATTCTTCGTAGCACCGCTTCTCGGCGCTTGAAAATCGAATTCTCACCTAAATTCTAAAGCTTCCTGAGACAAATGCGGTGGTGTGCACTGTGTTCTTATCTTCTTACTTGAACTTTTCACAACAAACAAAAGTAAGAAGACAATACGGGTAAATGAAAAATACATCTTCAATTTCTTTGGGACCACGTTCAAATCTATGCAAAAATCAATGGTGCAAAAGGTAACGTCACGTCACTCCAACGCACAGTTGGAGACCCAAGTCATCCGGATTAATGAAATAGAAAACGGTACCTCGCCCGTGCGATGAAACTCATAATACAATTGCACAAATGAACTGCAGAAAAAACTTAGCAATCAGTAAACACGGCGCTTCCGAAATAAGCAGAAAATTAATACGAAATGTGACACTATGATATATTCAAAGCAGCAAAAAAACTCCAAAACAAAATCCAAATTTCCAGTCCAAAATCAAAATTTCAAGCATAAAGCAACAAAAAGAGTTTTGCCTCACAAAACCAATACTAAACTTGAGTATAAAATTCCTCAAAATCAAAATTCAAAGCAATACATAATCGCCAGGTTAGCGAAACAAGATAATATAGAAAAGTGATACATCATGTCTGCAGTTTATCCACCAGATTTAAGACGCTGAAACTTCACATTGAACATGAACAAACATTCAACTTGAAAAAAGAACCACGTACGTAAAGATTCAAAAGTGAATACATAAAAGTCTTCTAATTCCTATTTAAAGAATGTACAACTTGAAAGTGTGACACACCGCAGAGCTAATCCCATAAGCAATTGATCAGATTCTCTCCTAAAGACAAGGTCATCTAATCGACTGTCGAAATAGGAGTAATAGTAAAAGCATCATCCGTTTAAAAACCCTAATGGAAGTTACATCGATGCAATTGGCACGACTTTAGTTGAGCGTGGCAGCGGTGTCATGGGACACTCCTTCAATGGTATCATGAATCTATTTCACAGTAAACTGAGTGAAACCAGAAATTCTCGACATGTAAAGCTCAACATTAAGTACCGAAACCTCCGTTGTTCATTTCTGAAAGTCGGAGACAGAACTGCAATGATCTTCCAAATCTGTAATGGGCTATGAGAACGAATAGATGGGTGCGTTGCAAACAAACAATTTAGACGATGAAAAGCTCGCAAAACAATAATTTGAAATGGAGATTCAGGAGATAAAGCGATGGTAAGGTCTTATGATGAGATGGCAGTGAGGAATAGATGCGAACCATGGAAGAACTAGACAATCAAAAGACTTCGAAAGAGGAAATATTGCAGAAGTAAGCGCGTATGAAAAATAAAGAGAAAATATACATAAGAGATAACAAAAGAAGGTTACTCGGAAGAAGATAAAGAACCGAATAATGAACGTTCATCTGCTACCAACTGACAAAGAATAACTTGAAAATAAGAAAAGGAAACCATTGTGAGCAAGTTGCTGATAACAGCATCTTGCACTTAATAATTCTAACATGTACAAAATGACGCGCTTTCGATCAAAAGATATAGACAAGTCTTGATGAGTTTGGCTACAAATGAGGCGCATAAGAAGGCAAAATCTACTCCACTCATAGCAGTATCTTTGGAAATGTTTTTATAGAAACGATGTACGCTCTATTGAGGCCACACTCGGAAAATTATGAAGATTAATTAATATGAGCTTAATAGCTTATACTAATTACTAATTATTATAAGCTTTACAGCTTCTCCTAATCACTAATTAATATAAGCATCCTCTAATTTCACATTAATTCTACATACGGCAGCACTCTCGAATAAACAATGCTGCGTTAACAGATTTTTCGGATAATTAAGATTAGATATTAAGACAAATTTATCTAGATGCAAATTTTGGAGAGTGCAGTAAACGCACGCGAAATATATGCACGTTCGAGGCACGTCAGGACAAATATTACATTAGGCACGCTTGCATACGTGGGCGTAGACTGGATACGTCATATTGTACGACAATACCTTCAATAGAACTGCAATCAAATATAGCAACAGATATAAACTAAAGAAAACTAATTATTTTAACTCTAAAAACTGAAGAACAAGCACAAGGTAGAATCACGTTCTTTGTAAGCTAAGGGTAATTAATTAATCTACGTAGGCCAATCATTTCACAGACATTGGACGAATGTGAGCGACCGCAAGCGGTTCTTTCGATGCATCGAGACACAAATTACAAACATCATATACAATAACTCCGTTGTTTGTGCGCGCAGGCTTGCCACTTCGCCGTTTGATTCTCATTGAGCAATAAAATTTTGAGTCCCAACAAAAGGAAAATCAAAACTAGTGGAAAAAGCAGAAGTCGGGGAATAGAAGTATTTTATAATGGAAGTTATTATTTGTAATAATACTGTTCATTCTCGGAAATGAACTATTTTCAGACAATTTTTTTGCCGCCAATTCAGCAACATAAGAAGAGTATTTCATGGTACTGAACATAATACGTGAACTAACGAATCAATCACTGCATTAGATACCCGTCATTGAGAAATTTGAGAAATCCTGCTTACAAACTGCTGGGAAGCTACGTTAAGGGGTAGAATTTACGCCAAGCGAGATCCAGAATACTAAATATTTTACAAATAAATAATTAAATTATACTCAATAATTTTGACTCGGCAAAGGAAAGTAGAAACGATAAGCCATACTTGTCAACAGATTACTATTCCGAAAAAGCTTGAAGCTTAAAAATCTAATTAGTTGGTCAAATTAAGATTTCTCAGTTCCTAAGAGGCCCGGAAAGTGGTACCGATGGTGCAAAGAAATCAAATACTTCTTCTCAGACTTCAAGCGACATTAGAGATATCTTCACCCATGCCATACAGGAACTCAATTTGACTGGAACTAAAATCCGATAGTCGCGTCCTCGGTGTTGCGATCCTAATCAAAACATGAATGTAATTATTGGGCTCCGAAATAAGGTCGGAGATCTGCACTGATATGGTGGCGAGGACAGCGATGCTAGTAGGCGGTGGCGGTAGGAGCATCAGCAGCTGACGAGAGGAGAGTCGTGCCGTTGGTTGTGAGGTACGCGCCGTAGAACTCCTCCTGCTCCAGCAGCTGCTGCTCGAACTCGTCTTCTAGTTTCTGTGCAAATATATCTTACATTGGCAGCGAAACATAATTGGGAAAGAGAAAAATATTTAAAGCAAGTTGAAAATCGGAAGAGAGTTATAAATGTTTGTTAATAATGTTGATAAAATTGACGGAAATTTAAGCATAACCTTCAAATAAAGGTTACAGGGAACACAGTACAAGACAAATACTACCTGTAAGTATACTAAAAATAATAAAATAACTCATAAAAACCAAGGAGATCCATCCTATCACACACTGTCTCGGCCTTCTTATAACTATAGGGATGTCTGCCATCAAGGTAACCAAAATTAAAATAAGTTACCTGTTTTCTGGGTTTGAGATTATTCTTCCAATCTTTGAGTTCCTTCTGGTACTCTTCCTCTTGGGCTTTCAGCTTGAGTGTCTCGTGCTCCATAAGCATCTTGCCTGTCAGACCGAGAAGCAGAGAACAGTAACGTAACTGAAGCACACATTGCAATGAAATAATGTAGGAATAAATCAAGTCGGTAAATAAACTATGAATAGTGATGATAAAATAGTAAGATCTTACGCTTCTCGTTCTGCATTTGTTCCAGCTCCTTCGCGTGGGCCTCGGTAGCGGCCTGCAACTCCTCGAGTTGTTTTTTGTGCTTCTGATCAGCACGTTTGCGTTCAGCTTCATAACGGCGACGTTCACACATTTGAAACTGAAACATAACAAATGATTGAATATGAGTTGAAACCGAAACTTTGTCATGACATTAATTTCAAAGTAAGAAATAAAACCTTTTTCTTACTTTTTCACGTCTACTCTCAGACCAGGAATCTACAGTGTTCTGTATCGACCTTGATATAAAATGTATGAAGGTCGACCTTCGAAGCACATGATAACTGCCTATGTTATGATAGGTATACTTTTATTAGTAAATTACCGAATTCTTGAAGAAACGAAGAATTCGACGAATGCTTTGTAGAACTCTTGCTTGATAAATTACAGCAAATAGCGAACTTTCACGATAAGAGGACAGATAACTGGAAATAATAGCATAGATATGCCACAGCAGTGACCTTAGGTTAGGCTCAAGTTGGAACGTTGGCAAAGCGCGACAGGTGACATTTTCACCATCCCTATTTTGAAATGAAAATGAACAGGAACAGGAACATGAAAAGGAACATGCATATGAACAGGAACATGCATATAAACAGGAACATGCATATAAACAGGAACATGCATATAAACAGGAACATGCAAATAAACAGGAAGGGATCCCTGCGGGAAGGATCGCTTTCCGTGGCAGGGCCAAGGCTGTTCAACGCCCTACCAACTACCAAGGGATCTAAGAGAGGGGGAGTTCACCCTGGAGACCTTCAAGAAACAATTAGACGTGTTCCTGAGCATAATCCCAGATCGACCTCCCCTGCAACACTACCAGTGGCGAGAAGCAAGCAACAGCATCGTGCATCAGGTGGCCCAAATGAGGGCGGATGAACGATAATCAGAGGCGTCGATCCATCGTGGCCTGGGACTGCTATGTCCCAAACAAATACTAAGGATACTAAGGAACATGCAAATAAACAGGAACATGCAAATAAACAGGAACATGCAAATGAACAGGATCATGAAAATGAACAGTAGCATGAAAATGAACAGGAACATGAAAATGAACAGGAACCTGAAAATGAACAGGAACCTGAAAATGAACAGGAACATGAAAATGAACAGGGACATGAAAATGAACAGGAACATGAAAATGAACAGGAACATGAAAATGAACAGGAACATGAAAATGAACAGGTCCATGAAAGTGAACAGGAACATGATAAAATACCTTGCGCAGTCGCTCTTTCTCGTCCTGATGTGATTCAGGCAGGTTGGTGGTGCTGATCCTCAAGCTCTCCCTGAACATGAGCTCCCTGGCTTTCATCTCCTGACGGATCCTCTTGGGCATGGCACGTCGCTCAATGGCCTGACGCTTGATCAGCTCCTCTTCACGATGACAGTTCTGACGCCTCACTTGCTCCAGTTCCTTCTCGTGACGCAGCAACATCTGACCGCAACAATCATCATTGTTAGTTACTAGTTTACAACTTTCCTAATGTGCATGCATAAATAGGAAAAATAATAATTCAATTCAATGATTACAACCATTTCTTAGGTTCGCACGCCCCTCTCTAAAAGTACTACGTACTATATACTTAAAAATTTATCTTTTCTACTAAACTAATGAACTGAAAGAGTGGATGCAATGGAGCTAGAGGGTCAAGAAAGGATGCTCATCATACCTGGTGACGTTGGAGGAAGAAGATATCTTTGAGTTGTCGTTTGGCCAGTTGATGTCTCTCGTGCAGATGACGTTCCTCAAGCTCCCATAGAGCAGCTTCTCTCGCCCTCAACATCTGGTGCTTCTTCTGCAGGAACTGCCGCTCCAGAAGTGCGACGTGAGCTCTGTGCTCCTCAGACAGCCGTTTCATGCTCGACTGGTAAACGGCAGAGAAAACAAAACGTTAGTCTCAAACTAGGGGACTATTTGAAGCTACAAAAAGAATTAATAGGATCATTTTAAACAAGACAGGAATCTAGTCATGGTCTCGACTCAAAATTGTACATAACAAACGGAAAAAAATTTTCTGATGATATAAAAGAATAAAAAATATAAAAATGTTTGGTGCACCTCATGATTTTGGTGCAATCTTTCTAGGAAAGCTTTTTCCCGCTCAGCTTGATCGCTCTCCAGGTGTTCCTTGCGACTCCTCAGAGCTTCCTTCCTCACATCCTTCGGCAAAAGGTCGACCTCCTGCTTGAGCAGCTTCAATTCGATCTTCAACGAGTCGCGGAAGGATCGTAGCTCTTTCTCCTGGTCAGCTCTGATCCTTTTGCTGGAACTCTTCAACTCAACTTCGTGCTGGGCTTCTGTGCGCTCAACCTGAACGCGGTAACGAGGCTCAGGATAACATCAAGTTCAGTTCGTTCTGGTAATGTTAGAAAATTCGCTGCAATGCAAAGTTTGGTTAACAAATTTATTATAATGAAATGATAACATATTAGTCATCTTATTTATTCGAAACGAATTTGTTATAATGAAATGATAACATATTAGAGTCATCTTATTTATTCTTATTCTCGTACTTAACTTTATATTATACAAATAATAGAAGAATTGTCAAAGAATATCCCAGCAATGATAGGAAATCGATAAGATAAGTTTAAATATAATCTGAAGCAGAGGTTTGAACTCACCTGTTGTTTTTGATGTCTGTTGAGCGTGTCCACGTCGTTGTCGTAAGTTCTGACGAGCTGACTTCTCTCAGCCTCAAATTTCCTCTCCTGCTCGATCCTGGCGTTGTTGGCTTTGATGCCGAGCTCCTGGAACTGCTTCTGCTCGATCTTCTGCAGCAGCTTCAGCTCGCGGAGCTCCTGCTTGCGCGCCAGATGGCCGGACGTCATAATGTTGCCTTCTTCGTCGTCGCCGTAGATAACCTGTTCGGTAGTCGTTTGCTAAACCAATTGCTAAATTCAATTGCTAAACCAATTGAAATTGTAAAATATGCGTTCAGAACCAAAGCACATAGCTCACCTTAAAATAACAGCAACGAACGTTTGATAAGCAAATGTAAATTACGAATTTTGCCTCAATTCGAGGGAAAACGTACGCTATACGGCTCAATGGTCAATTATAATAATAGTACCAATGAATATTCATCACAGTTTATGTCCCAATATCAAGCCCAAAGCCACTTGGTAGAGTAAATGCATCAACAGGGCAAGATGCAATTGTATGCTAGAGGAGACAGTGCAGCGCGTAATGTGTAGGAGAATGATAACTTTATATAAACATAAAAATACATAGGAATGGATTGATATGAAAAGATATTTTACCAATATGGGTTTTGACTACGGCATGACACAAAATAATATTTAGTAATTACACCAGACACAGTGTTCAGTTGTTTCATCCAATTTGGAAATTTTGCTGAAAGACGACAATTTTGAAATGAATCGAATGCATGACTGAAACCTGAGGTCGAACTCCGAAGAAATTAAAACCCGAAATTCATGCAATGCAGACTACGAAAGAGATAAGAACATAAAGTCACGGGGGTCTTGATAACCATGCACATGAATAAATACTAAAAATTTTATAATTAAAAATCATATTGATAAATGTAGAGATGATAATCCTACAACAGTTAATATATGAATCAGAAAAACATGATCATTCCTTATAAGCACTACGTTTCACATTTACGTTTCGACATGAATCAACACGATAGGGTAAGCCGACTTTATAATAATTCAGTACTAAGAGGGTTCACTAATATATTCCTAATCGGAACTACAGTACAGAAGCCAGGATTAGGATGGGCGTGCACTCGGTAAAACTCACGTCATGACCGTTAGCCATTACATCGCCGTGCCAGAAAGCGTCCTATGGTTAGCGAGTGGTCATAAAATAAGCAGTTGAAGCAGATTAAAAGCACAAGAAATACGCTCGAAATCGACTAAATATCAATTGTCTAAGGTGGAAGTACTTGCTTTGTGTCAGCTTTATAAATAACTTCTTCAGTATTAAAACTGGAAAAAAATTAAGGAAGGTTTTGGTGTTCTCGACTGATAACAAGCAGTTTTAACGTGAACTAAGCAAATGTATCCTCATCGCAGCTACGCGCATTGCGAAATCAGGAATATTCTAAACCTCCTCAACAGCCGCTGCTCCTAAAATATGAAGTATACCTTTATATTCCCTCACAGCTTGAGACAAAAATATTGTCTTACTACGATTACTTCGTGATATAAAAATAATAAGCAGAGTGCGGTAAGTCTCTACAAAAGGTTTACCGATATTTACCGGTACATCAGGTTTATTGACAACCATATATGGAAGAAACCATAGCATCCTGATCTAAGAAGCAAAATATTTGTGCAGTAATTGTACCGTCGGGTGATGAATTAAAAGAAGGAACAAATAAACGTGACACATGGCAAAGCACGAGCTCACCAATTCCACATAATTAAGTCCCAGCAAATAGAACAGAAATCGCTGAAGTGTTCCTATCATATTTTGTCACCTAAGAAGAAAAATCGCCCGGTCGTGGTAGAATTCTACCAAAAAACTGATACAATATTTAAGTAATATACGGTAATACTAATCACTAATGAGGAACCGTTCATCTCAAGATGCTTGGTCACTTCGCCATTAAAGGCTTCAATGAGAGAGGGAGAAGTAACTACACTCTAATAGTCTCATTCAACATCAATATATAGTCTCATAATAATAGTAATAGTCTCATTCAACATCAAGTCCCAAACGTCTATACGACCCACGCCACACGCACTAAAGTTCTCCATTCCAATTGGGCCTAAGTGGCGCCTCGTAGATTCAACTCAACATGGGCACTATTCAACAGTTTCGTGCCAAAGTGTTTCTTACTAATACCGGTAGCTGTCTCACATCACTGAGCTGAATAAATGGACTAAAGCTACACTCTTGATTTTTAAAATCCCAGTGTAGACAGTTCTTGCTGAAGTACAAATTCCCGGTGTTGTAGGTACGAGGCATGTTTTTTAAGTAAGGACCGTTTTGGAATTAAAAGAAAACGTGCAAAGATATCGCAATCATTTTATTTTTACATGAAAGCCTGTACCTTTAATCTACTTTTCTACATAATTTCCGTGAATGCTGAGGCACTTGTCACAACTTGGCACCAGTTTTTCAATACCGTACCCTCCTGATAAAATTCTGCCGCCTGACTTGGAGGTGAAATTCTGCTGAAAAACGCCTAAAATTTCTTCTTCCTGACGAGTCAGGCGGCAGAATTTTATCAGGAGATAATCAAAAACCGGTGCCACGTAATGACAAGTGCCTCAACATTCACGGAAATTATGTAGAAAAGTAGATTCAAGTACAGGCTTTAATGTAAAAATAAAATTGTTGCGATATCTTTGCGCTTCTTTTTTTAATTCTAAAACGGTCCTTGCTTAAAAAAACGTATCTCGTATTATCTGGTGTTATTGGGGTATTCCGCTTAGCCAGTGAGAAATTTTTCTCCGAGCCAAGTGTAACAAATAAAATAGCATAAAAAGTTTCACTATTGGGCACGATGCCCGTAACATTTACCTTGCTTGTGGTGGTAGTCATGACGACGCCGTCTATCATGAACTTCCTGGTGCGCTTGCGCGTCTTCTTCCTAAGAGCAATGCTCTCATTCTCCTCTTTGGTGCGGCCGTTCTTGGTGGCAATGGCCTGCCTACTCTGGCGTTGACGATTGACGTTCTTCAGAGTCGAGTCTTCGATCATAGACTCGCCAGCCTCGCTGCGGTACGACGACGTGTCCGTGGACGGCGACCGGCCGGCGGTCGGGTGCCGCAGCACGACCTCCTCCTCGCTGCTGCCGCCGCCACCAACGCCCGTCGGTTTGCTGTTCTCCTTCTCTGAGCTCACGGTGCTGATACTGTCGCTGTCCGACCTGTTATATAATTGCTGAATTTCAAAACAAGCGATGGCCTTGCATCACTACAAAATAAAAATAAAATTATTCTTTGACCTCAAGAAGTAGCTTATAATAATGATAATGATAATAAAACAGCTAATCACTCAATGTTTGAGAAATAAATAGCCAAAATTTAACCATATTTTCCACTCGGAAAAACGTATGGGGACGGCAAGTAAGATTGTTCTAAAAACTTTTAAATTATATATAGAACATAGGTATTGAGGTTTGACAGTGAATAAAAATAAATACTTCTTGATACTGATCATGGAGAAGGCAAAAAACAATAATTAATACCAATTTTGGAACTGTTTTGCCTTCAAATAAATACGGACAGACTTCTAACGAAATATAAATTATGAAAATTTTTCTGAAATTCCCAATATCATCATCGAAAAGTTATTTTAGAGGCAAGTTTTATTATTTAACGGCGTTGGCGTGCTTAGGTTTCATCATTCATTCCGAAGTAATCAACTTGAATACATTCTGTTGATTTGCGTCAGCATGAGAAGATAAAATCACCGACCTGTCCTCGAGAGCGTGACGCGCAGCAGTGACAGCCACAGGCGCGTCTCGACCATTGACCGCATCCGCAGACTTGGAATGCTGGAAACAAACCAACCTGAGATTTACCTGAGATTTATATCAATTACTTGAGATTTAAGAATTATTCAGGAAAACCTTGAATGAAACGAATGAACACAAATTTATTTCAACATGAACAAATGAAAATTGATATAAAAAATAGAATATGCGAACTTCAGTATCGCAAGATGACGGGAAGACAAAGATTGTGAAATAGCAACATTGATTACAAACCATGTCGAACAATGATTATCAAGTCAACGGTAGCAAGATGATGCATCTTTTCTGAATAGATAATGATAAAAATGGTAATGCTGGAATACTACAGATTTGAAAGTTTGAAACTCTCAACAAAGAATCTTTTAAAATAAACTATAATTGTTGGAGAGATCGATATCAAGGATTGGTGTAAAAAATATGCTCTTTTGACGATTCAGATCAAGTGAAAAAGTGAAGACTTGACACTTTTCATCATGAGTTATCAAAAGAGTTTGCTCGCGCTTGAGTAAGTCGTGGCATGCCAAGAAGCCGGACTTCCGTGGACAATTACCTACTATTAATCTGAAAACAAAACTCAGCCCCACCAATCCCTGTTACTCAGGGAGCATAAAAACTAAGTGAAATAAACTGTGTCATACCTTGTGAGGCGTCACGAGGGAGTCGACGTCGGTGTCGCCCAGAGTGGTGCCCTCGATGGTCACGTGCAGAGCGTCGGGAGGCGCAGGCGAGGTGTGCTCCGCTACAGGCACCACTGAGATGTGCGTCTTCCCTGCCACTCTAGGTACAAGAAGCGCAAAATGATATGATAAAGGCAGAAAAAAATTTATAACGCGTGGTATGGGTGTGGTTACAAGTATGAACCTTTCGTTCGTAGCCATGGTTCGTAGCCATGAAACGAATTACTTACAATTGTCCCAAAAACAATGACATTATAAAAAGTAAAACTATCGAAAAAAACGTAACAAAAGAGTAAAAAGTGAAAAAGCGGGAATGAAAACAAACGCAATAGTGAAATAGAGCAAGCGCATTTATGATTATAAAAATGTTCAACAAAATTGATTTTTGCGAAAAAAAAAAACACCAGAAAAATGAAGGTGAATCCTCAGTCGATAATTAATAGTTAAAAAGGCAGTCGGACAGTAAAAAATTACTTGATCAATGAAATACCGTATTGGATTAGACTCGTCTGTTCAGTAAAATGGCGTGGATCGTATTCAACATCGTATCAATAAGCAAAGCAAGAGAACTATTACCGAGACCAATAGACTCTCAAGCGCTAGAACAACAATAATTAGAGGCTTGGTTCAGTTTCAGGTCAATTGATTATCGCTAGACCGGCGCAGGCGTACCTCGTAGGCGACGCGACATCGTCGGTGTTGCTCTCGCCGTCGAGGGTGTGGGAGTGCGAGATGACCACCTGCCTGGGACCGTCCACTACCACCACGCTGCTGGTGGACTCGTTCAGGGTGGAGTCGTGCAGCAGGGACTGGTCGGGGGAACTCGTCTCGTGGTGGTCGATCACTTCATCCAGCAGCTGCACAGCCTCCTCTGCAGCAAGGGTGTAGCTCTCGTCCTGTAGAGTACAAATCAAGTATATCGTCCATGTATCATTATAGGACAAGGCACAAGGCATTTTTTCGTCACCTTTCTTTTTTCGTTAATATTTCTTTTTTTAAAACTTTTTGAACTTTTCGTCAATGTTTAGAAAGTTTCTGCCCAAAATGTATTGATTTGCCAAATAACTTCTAAGTATGGAGTTCATTTATAATTTGGGAGTAAATAAGAAGTATTGGCAAGGTTGTTGAATTTCCTTCGTGTGGAAACCATGGGGAAAATTTGTAATAATATAGCTATTCCGGTGGCATCTAACCTACTTGGCAATTGTAAATCGCGCTGTAGATAAAATTTTCTTCAAGCGATCATACAGCTAGACGCGATCAACAGCAATATATGTATACGCGTACCAAGCAATCGTAAAAAAAATTAACTTCCTATAGAGTAAAAAATTTAATGAAGTATTTAGAAAGAATGAAATCTAACAAGAAACCACAGGAGAGATAAATTTCGTTGTTGACCGTCACTTTATAGTTCAATATTTGAAAATCGCCAGCAGGCACTATTTACCCCCAGGGGAGGGGCGCGAGGGCTGTCCAGGGGGGTGGAGGTAGGGCTCTCGACCACACCTGGGCCTGCATATACGAGACAACAATCAGAACCCAGCAAATTATATGTTAATTATAGCCTGCAGCAGACTAGTTCTGACGTATAATATAGAGAACTCTGCTAAAGAATTGATATCACAAGTGAGAATATTGATCACGAATTGAAGTATAATACAACTTTTGACATTAAATAATAACAGATATTTTCACTGCTCAGACCTGGACAAGAGGTCGCCTAAAAATTTATGATCTAAGGCAATCGCTCAAGTGATAGGGTATCATGCCAGTCTAGTACCGCATCCGATAATGAAAAATAGTCTTCAGAATATTTAAAAAGTAACAATCAAATTTCAAGTTACATAGATACAAAGTACACAAGTAACTAGAATATCAATCCAAGAAATGCCTCACAAAGAACCAGTGTTTGGCAGTAATTCAGCTACAGCTTTCTTCGCTTCAGTAAAAAATTTGAGGCAGCCCACCTGTCAATGAGACACCCCAGAAAACTTGTGACGACTAGTAAACGGTACACTTAGATTTAAATACACGCACAAAAATAAGGTGATAATAACGGGAAATAATTAACCGACACAGACCATAGAAACGCCACAAATTTTTTCTTAATGTTGATCGCCTCGCAGAAAATTTTATAGTAGATAAGAATAAAGTCATATACATAATTAAACACGAGACAGTAAAACTCGCTTGACGGCGAATTGAGATTCTTTTAAACACACGAAACCCACTCAAGGAAATTTAGTGTAATTAACAAAAAAAAAAAAAACACATGAAGCCCCATATAATGAGTACCGGTACATTTTATAACAGATTTAATCATTGCGGTGGATATGAACAATTGAACATTCCTCACAATCACCATCTTCATCACATCTGACGGCCCTGACAACTACTACAGCCAAATAAAATTCAACTTTTACTTAATTTAAACTTGACCGGAATCAAAATGGCTGAAATTAGGCAAAAAAAAAAAAATCATCACGCAAATACAAATAATGAAGAATTGCGCTCGAGTTAATTTAAAAAATTTCGTGACTTACATCATGTATTCTGGTTTCAAAAAAGATAAAAACTTATTTGCCGTTATTTTTATCAGATCAAAATACAATGATCTATAAATATTCACACAAGCTCGATTTTTTCATGTTTCGTACATAAACGTTGTTTTGGGTAAGGTAAAACCTCTGAAAGTTTTTGCAATGACATCTCTTCGAGTCCGCGATGTCATACCTGAGAAGGTGACAAGCGACTGCTGGGGAGGTGGGGTGGAGGTGGGGGGCGTGGGCGTCTGAGGTGTGGGGGTGGGGGTGCGAACGATCACCGTGCCTTCACTGCCTATGGACGCAATGATCTGAGCGACAGGCACATCAAGGGTCCGATGATCAGCCGCTGGGGTGATAGTTTGAGGCATCAAGTCAGCATCAGCATCATCAGGAGCATCAGGGCACACAACAATCGAGAGCTCGTTGCTGGGAAGGTCGTCTGGTGATCTCTGGCGAGTTTCTGCAGGTTTGGAAGTTGATTTCGTCGGCAAAGAAGGCTCGGCATAACCGTCAATTATCTCTTCTCTGTCCATGGTATACAAGGACTCGTCGAGCGCATCGTCGATAGAACCGCACACGTCAAGTGCGTCAGCTATAGTGCCTACGTCGTGATCGAAAGCTCTTATATCAGGCATGGGATCTCCGATTGAAACGACAGTGCTTGATGGTTGGCAATGACCATCTTGAATATCTTTTGGAAAACCATCACTAATAATGTGTGTTTTGGAAGTAGAGTCTACTATCACAGAGGGTGGGATTACTGGAAACGATGAAACATCTTCATTTTCTTCAATAACGAGCTTCTCTTGGGGCACAATATTGACCGTTTCAACGGCCATGTCATCTCCAAGAGTCGTGATGCTAACCATGGATGTGTCAGCAGTAGACGTACTAGCAACATCAGCGGTAGCCACACACACAGAAGCAGACACAACTGAAAGCGGAAGCGCCATTGACTGCTGTGGAGCATCCAGAGGAGCTTCTGGAACAGAGACACTCACGCCGCTGCTAGAGACTACAGCAACAGGAACAGAAGTAGTAGAGTAACTAATGGGAGAGGAACAAGAGACTTCAGGGGAAGCGCCACTAAGCACAACATCACCGCTGGAAGTAGGGATAGCGGTTGTGATGGTTGAATCAAAAGCAGGGCTTGGAAGAGTCTTGGTAGTTGGTGAATTAATCAGCGGGTCATCAGGCACAAGTTTTGAGTCAGAGTCACTCAAGTTTTCATCCTTACCAGTTGGTGGTGAATCAAATGTGTCATCGTTTTGTGATGATGAAGCTACTACATCAGTCTCCACAGATGGTGATAATCTAACAGATGAAGTCACAGTGGCGATATAAGCAGCAGGAGAAGTGACAGGAACAGATGAAGGGGATTGCACATTATTGACAGATGACGACGCACCAGAGTCTGGGGGTGACGAAGAGACAGTTGTGGTAGTAGGGACAGATGGAGGCTGAGGAACCAAGCCTTTTGGGGAATCTGAGGAAGCTACAGGGACAGAAGGTTGAGAAGAAGGATCAGGGGACAAAACAGGCGATAGAGGAGACACTGAAGGAGACACGGGGGGAGGAGGAGACACATCAGCAGATGGTAGAGGCGATGGCGCGATGACATTCAAATCAATGGATGGACTGGTAACAGGTGAGGCTATCGGGGCCGAAGTGGCAGAAGATGTTACTGCAAGGGACGAAGTAACGGCAGTACCAGGAGTGATGGTTGGAGTGGAAGATGAGGCAGGGGCAGGGAATGTGGAGGGCGTTGTGACGACTGCAGGAGAAGGAGTGGATGGAGCAGGACCCTTCTTGGAAGGCGCAGGAGGAGGAGGAGGAGCGGGTCCTTTAGTAGCCCGTCTCTCTGTAACGCCCGTCGGGGTAGCCTGGAAAGCAACGAGTTATAGTTACAACTTGGAAACTCACTTGGCATTTATACTACGTCCTGAAGATATATAACTACGCATTTAGTACAAAAATGAACGTGTATTATGGATTAACATGGATTATTTGCAGCAACTTGCCATAATTTGGCACCATTGAAATTATACTAAAAAAAACAACATTGATGCAAAAAGTATGCGGGATTTTCACACGAATTTCAGCTGCTGCACACAAAAAATTATCAGCATCATGATCGAAAGTCAATGTAAGAATTTTTCCTCATGGCAAATCAATGCAAAATCAGGTTAATGATAAGATGGAAAACTTCCAATTTCTGATCAGCCATAACAGTATAATCAGGTAACCCTGTACCGGTACTATATCAACTAATGTAAATAATGACGAAAATATTTGTTGAAAAAGAAATGTAAGCAGATTCAATAGGAATTGGTACAGAAAGCCAACTCTGGGCACACCTCCTTTTGTTGCTTGCTAGCGATGCTCTCGGAGTCTTGGCTCAAGCTGTGCTGGTCGACTGAATCAAGACTGAGGCGCGATGCCCGCTGTGTAAGCAAGGAACAAACAACAATTATCTTCATATCCCAATTGAAAAAGAAAAAATGTGTTTACGATTTGATAACAAACTAAAACAACATTAAAAATTAGTATGTTGGCACTGGATTGCTTAAAATAAGTTATAAAAGAGATAAGAAGTCTGATAGTGTATAGTCAACTTTTCAAGTAGTGTAGTGATAACAAAGAACATCGGATAAAAATCGCAGCATTGGCATGACACAAAAATGAAGATTTTATAGGAAGCAATTCTAACACTACGGCATCAGAACTTCAGGCCAGTACATATTAGACTACCTATCATTTAAAGGATGGATTTAAAGTACAAATCCATAGAATTGTGTTTCAACTACTAAATGCAAGAAATACCTAATGGTAAAAGGAATAATTTCATCAAGCAACTGACCGGATCTTCTTCAACATCCTCTTCGACCACATCAGCCTGGTACTCAATGAGCAGCGCAATGATGTGCTTGGCGTTTTGAGGCTTCTTCACAAAAGGATGATTCATGAGCTGGCGTGCGTCAGGCCGCTCATCAGGGTTCTTCACTAGACACGAGGCGATGAAGTCGTTGAAGTCTCGGGAGAACCTGCACAAATATTTTCATATTCAGAACCAGACAACAAATTTAACCAACAAAATCTTTCAATGGATTAGCAAAAAAATTTGTAAATAAAATTATGCTATACGTAAATACTTGATGGAGATTTTTTATCAATCTCTTTTCCAGCTAAATTGCATGCAGGACAAAACCCAAAGGAACATCGAAAAACAATGCCATGCATTCTTGAAGCAATCCTCAATAATGGACATTTTGCAACAAGGAAATAGGTACGTAATGGCAGCACATTTGATGGGACAACCTATTTTAGGAGGTTCAACTTGATGAACTCCAAGAACTCACTTGCTTGGGCAGTCTAACTTTGGTGGATCAGATTTCTGGATTTTGAGAAGAACTCTGAGCGGCGACACCTCGTGGTACGGAGGGTCCATTTGAGCGAACTCTATGAGTGTGATGCCCAGGGACCAAATGTCCGCCTGAAAGCAGAAAGAAGATTGTGTAGACACCATTTTAAAAAAGAAGATCCAGAACAAGGAATCCCAACATTCTACATTATAACATTCAAAAAAAAAAGGTACTGAATAATGTTATTCAATATCTCTGTCATCACATGCCATGAAAACTAGATTAGGCACCTAAATATTTCACTTGCTCATCGAAAAGGTAGAGCTAATTAGTTACAAGCCACAAGCAGAGGAATTTATCCTGGTCTCTTAATGTAAGATTATTAAACTAAAAATTTGTTAAAAATCAGTACACCTTCTCTAAGCTTAGAAATTGATGCACGGTCATGATTAAAAAAGATCAATATAGAAAAGATCACCATATCATTAATTCGTAGATTCATTACAGTATCAAAACTAATTGTGTTGTCATCCATCATAAATGAACTAGGGTACCTTGTAATCATATTTGGAGTCAATGATCGTCTCGCACTTTATAACCTCAGGGGCGAGCCAATATGGCGTCCCAATAAAGGTGCCGCGCTTGTCCATTGTGTTCTTGTTCTTTGCTGACACACCAAAATCCGCTGCACATGAAAATCAATGTAAAACCAATAAATATTTTTTGTGTCAGCAGAGGGCATTTGTTGGTGTAATTTGGATTTAACAGAGAAATTTTGCTAAATACAAAGAATATTTACAAAGAATACAAATAAAAATAAATATAAAGAATATTTGTATTGTGTGAGTAAAATTTGTAATTTTACACTGAAATTATTAGAAATAAATGCTGAACATTACAAACATTTCAATGCATCAGTGGTCACAAGCAGCATAGGAGTTTATTAGGAGACAAGATGTGATGGGCGCTGCAAAGTGACTGTGACAAAGTGAGTGAATAAAAGAGCACTCAAACACTCACCCAGCTTGACACCTCCATCAGTTGTGAGGAGGACATTGCCTGCCTTGATGTCTCGGTGAATCACCTGCAGTAATAAATGCTATTACGATCCAGAAATGAATTACATGCTTCCATGAATTGTCCATGAATAACATTTGCACTGGATAAACATTGTTTTCAATCTAAATTTGAAAGGCTAGTATTCATATGATTAAATAATAATGGATCATGATGGAATCATAATTTTGAAGAACAAAATAACTATCCAAACTACTTTTCTAGCAAGGATCCAGTAATCATGGACATTTGTTTTTGCACTAGATAATGAAATTTGACAAGCATATGCCATAAATCCTAAAGCTAGAAGTTAAGGTCATGAGAACTTACCCTATGCCTGTGGACATAGTCTAGAGCCTGAAGTAGATGGTGGGTGATGTAGGAAATTTGTTCTTCTGTCAAGGGGCGATCAAGATCAACCTGCACAAAATTATTTTACAGTATTAAAGTGCACCACCCTAATATTTTCATGTGCACTCAATTCAATAAAACTGAAATTTTGCTCATTTGATTAAGCAGCAAGCAGTAAGACAAGAACTCAGTAAGGTTCTTATTATATAATAAATCAATGAAACATAAATTAAGATTTCTAAAACAAAAATATTAAACAGATATAAAAAAATGCTAGAACAGACAACACAACATCTACTGCTGACAGCTTCAGGAAATGTCTCAGGAAATGAATGTTAAATTTCATCAATGTAATGTAAAAATAAATTAAAAATGGACTATGACTATGATTAGGAACTGACCATGATGCTGTCCACAGCCCCTCCATCACAGAACTCCAGGTACATCCAGAGACATCCCTCCCAGTGGTACGCCTCCAGCAATCTCACAACGTTTGCATGCTGACATTCTGCCAGAATGTCTATTTCCACCATGAAGTTGTCAAGGTCTTCATCCTCCTCTAAGGCAACCTTCTTCAGTGCTGCTAAAGTTCCATTGTGTATATTCTCTGCCTATAAAAAATCAAAAGAAGAAAATTTCAGGGTAAATAAATGCAAGTAACTGAAATTTACACAGCAAAAATTTTTGGAAGGATGAATGCTTGTGTTGCAAAGACAGACCAAGTCAGTGATGTGAGAGTAGCAATATTCAGTGATTTAACCTTAACTTAATACACACATGTCCCAATTGGGACCTCTCGTATCTGCTTGTCACATACATTCAGATATATAAAGTTATTTTGCACCAAACTTTTGTTTCAGTTATTTGGTTAAGAATTTGAAAGATTTTTACATTTTAATTGGCTGTACTTGATGTAAATAGGCACCAAAAATGTGATAAATTGTGTCAAAGGACGTTGGTAAGGAATGTCAGAAATTACTATCATACAACAGAAGCTGAAATCTATTTTCTACCTATTGCCAAACAAATGAAAAGATTGATTTGGTTGGTGAACACCATTGTTCTAATGATATTCTTGTTAACTAGGTACAATATCTGGAAGCAATTCAATTCAGTAACATTATTAATGTATTACAGAAATTTACATAAAACACAGAATAAAATTACCTAACTCAAAGCATAAAATTACCTTTTTTTAGTGATTGAAATACACAAAATTCTAAGGCTATCACAACTTATCTTCAATTTAATGAGTAGATAAAATTCTCAGCAACAAGCTACAGGCATCCTCAATTCAATGACAATTTTACCTTTGTTTACATTTACAATGACAATTGTATCTTTTTAACATAGGTACTTGGAAAATGTAGTACAATGAATATGCAAAATATATACTATGACACCTTGACACCTCTCACTAAAATATTCTTACCTTATAAACTTTACCATATGCACCATCACCAATTTCACTCTTAATGATCCAGACATCTGCTGGGTTTTGTATTTTAACATTGTGGTAGACTTTCTTCCTCTTCACAGAAGAGGTGCTTTTGAAGATATCTTTTACCTTGGAAAACAGTGCCATGATTGACGTGACATTTACAACCTCCTCAACCTATTTATACCATCTAGATACTTGGGTTACAACAAAATGTTTGAAATGAGAACAACAACATGATGACAGAACTGGCATAACACAAAAACTAGTTTTCCTCTGGGAATGAACAAAAAAAACTGAAATAAAAAACGGACTATTAATAGCATTATTGTCATAAGAAGTAACACTGCTAAGCCTGCTAAGGCCTAACTCATGTTCAGCAGAAACAATTGTTCCATGAATCAATTTTATTACATTTCAGATAAAAATGTTCTCCTATTCTATTTTTACAGGATGGCAGAATTTGTTCTTTCAGACAGGTTTGATTGAAGACCAGAGAATTAGTTTTACTGAATCAATAATATGATAATTGCACATCAATAATACGGTAATTAATGTAAATGGCAATATCATATCAATAAAGGAAAAACAAGTAAAAATCACAGAAAATATCATTTATTCTACCTCTACATCATCTACAATGAAAGAGGAGGACTTCAGAGTACTGTTAGTAATGGATGAGTACGCTCTGCATGCTTCAAATGTTTTGAAATGAAGTTTTATTCCCATTGTCCCGAGTAGCCCCGACTGACGGGACTACTCGGGACAATCTTTATTTTGCGTCTGGCACCTTAGGAATAGCATATGGAATTTTTTTGACAATGCCATTCAATAGCCCTGGCAAAGAGCTATAAAATGAGCTTAAATGTTTTTATGAAATGTTTCATCGTAAGAAGTTATTAACAGTTATTAACAAAAAAACGATGAAATCTGTCCCGAGTAGCCCCGGTTGACGGTACCTATGTCAGAGTGGTGCAGAATTTTTTAGCAGTACGGCGGATGATGCTAGGCCATTCAATCACTGGCTGTTTCTCCTGAGGGCTGATTGGTCTAATTCAATTGATTCGTTCTGTCTGGTGGCTTTTGGCTGCCTATATGATTGTCCAGAAGTGTTGAAGGCTACGTTCCGGAAGGCAGAAATCATGATGGTTCATTACATCCAGGGCAGTGGTGTTCTTTGGCCGGCAACCTCCTGTGCTTGTGCACAATAGACGGATGGGCAGTGATGTGGTCTGCCAGTGTTTGCTGCATAGACGTTTTCCTGGGCATCCCAAAAAATTGAAATATAAAATTTGAAGTAAAATGCATTATGTGAATTCAGTTTAATTTTATCAAAACTGATTGGCATCCATTTCCTCAATTTAGTAAACCGTCACCAATATCATCTTGGATTAGCTGTTTTGAGCCTGAAGAGCAGTTTCTTGCTGCTTTTTCGGACCCTCCTACTGACCAAAATATAAAACTTCTTCATACAGTGCAATGTAAAGTGCAAGTAGATTTGCACCATTCATCATCGATTTTCAGAAATTCTGAAAAAATGGAATCAATGCTGATATTTCCTTTTCACTTCATTCAAAATCATTTGAATCAGCGTAGTTCAGAATTAATCAGTAACTTATTCAATGTGGCAAATGTTGGCTTCATGTACCTCCTTACTGATGAGCCAATATTGTGTTGTTTTCCATTATCTGGGAACTGGCATTATAGTTGACAGCTCCTGATGTATATACAGAAGACATTAGGCGAGTAGGTATAATAAATGTGTTATTGAACAAATTTGTTCATTTACTATACAAATTCCTGCAGATTTGATTGAAGACCAGAGCATGCTTCTTATTAACAATATTCTTGTTTATATGAATAAACGTGTATTACGTACCATTTCTAGACGCTTGTTGTCGTAGGAATTAAAAACCTTGTACGATTTTGGCTTATATATACAGTATCAGTTAATTTGTTTGAGGATCAGCAGCATTAAAACTTTTCTTATATTACATTGCTCAATTTGATTTTTAGAGGCAATTGTTAATATTAACATTTTGTTTCGCAATCTATCAATCTTTGTAATCATACCCTAAAGATTAGCTTCAAGTTTGTTTGCTTAGTTGGTATGAGTGTCAGGACTCTTGAAGCTTATCGGGTGTCGCATGGATGTATATTTCAATATTAGTGTGATGGGATATCATATCACAATTATCTCTTACTAGTGATGGGATAAATTACCAAATGTAAAATTTGTCTATTAAGAAGAATACTCATAATTTGTTATACTGCTGGTTCATATACAGTAGTAATGATGAATTTGTCACAGGGCCTTGTGTCGACAATATTTGAAGATATATATATATATATATAGAGTTGGATGGGGATATACAATAGGATACCATTCTTCAATAATATGCTACGTTCCTTGGAAAAATATTTAGACTTCCGGGAAAGTAACGGAGGAAAGGGTGTCAATTAAGTGTCCAGGTCAGCTTTCTCCTTTCATGGCGTCCGGCAGGTACCGGTACCATAGACTTAGCGTGGTGGGTGTGAAAGCATGTCACACCAACCAATTCATGTTATAGCACAGACCCTGTTGCTGTTTCCATGTGGCAACTAATACACAAAAGCCTTGTGTGATGGTAGCAAGCATCTCAGCATGGTGTGTGTGTATCAATTGTTGATGCATTGTTTGTCATTGAAATTAATATTACTCATTACACTCGGAGGAATATTGCAATTTCCTTGAAATAATTGTACAGAGATTTGAGTGTCCAGACTCTGGATTTGCTTTTTAGCTTAGACTCCAGATCTACTTTTTAGCTACACTGCTTGTGGCAGTTAACAACAAACATGGCGTGCTTGATGATAACTGTCGGAAGATAATAAAATGCGTTTGTTTCTAGTTTGTGTGCTAATACGTATTCCTTGTTGCTTCCTTAATATTTATATACAGTTGAGGAGTGGTGTTTCAGTCCCATTAATTTTACTGGGTCATGCCACAAGACTTGTTTGTCTAAGCTGACTCTTTAACTACCTTGTTATTTTATTAACCAGTGCCTCCCAGCCGCCGACGTCCGCTCACCATCAATTTTGGCAACCTCGGCATCTGGTTACTGATGATGATGAATATTGGCGTCCACCATCTATATAGGTTCATCTTGGTGTCTTTTGGTTCAAAAAACGGCATCCTCGACCTATGTTGTGCCATTCTTTACAGTCTGGCTATGTGTTAGGTTTTTCAATCCATTTTCTTATGTTAACATTAGAATATATTACCTATAGGCTATACACATTGTAGTAGCAATACAGAGAATTTTTTAGACTCTCCTCTAAGTTCAATTTTGAGTACTATAGGCTAAGTAGACCAGTAAAGTATCATGGATACCAGCATTATCATACATAAGAAATTGGTTTAAATATTGAGTACCTAACTGAGAAAATTAAAAATGAACTGATTCTAAAAAATCTCTGATTTGCCACTATGATGTATGAATTTACACATACACGGCATACAGAATTCCACAGACTCACAGTCCACAGTCCATTGTGGCAAACTAACAGTCCACAGCCATTGTGGCAAAGCAGAGAGTTTTTTAGACTCTCCCTCAAGTTTGTTTTTGAGTCCTGTAAGTAGACCAAGGCTGGAAAAGTCCTATTTTTGTCTGAAATATCGCGGCTCTAGTATCATATAATTTCAGTAGGTATGAAATCTTGCGGCNTTATAAATGATCTTGAAGATTAGAGTCTTTTCGCCTTCCGTGAGTAAGTTAGGACTGTGTTTGGCGTTCCCAAAACTCAAATTACCAAGGTATTTAAAATTGATATGTAAATGCACCATGCGTGCATTGACTTTGTAATTAAATTCGTGCCTCGTAAATGGCTTTTCATGGCTGAGATATGGAATTCATGGCTCGGTGAAATGGAATCACGGCTCAAAGAAATGGAATCATGGCTGGCAAATCCATAAAACCACGGCTCGAAAAATTCAGTCGCCGCTTGCCAAGTAGATATATTCCATGCCTGAAGTAGACCAGTAAAGTATCCTGGATACCAGCATTATCATACATAAGAAATTGATTTAAATCTTGAGTAAATCAGGAAATTGAAACTGAACACCTTCTAAAAAATCTATAGTTTGTCACTATGGTCCACACTGAGCTTGAAGGCTTGAACAGTCGAACTTGAAGATGAAGAATGGATATTTGACAGTAAAATTGACACACTTAAGAATAAGTTGAAGCAAATTCACCATCATGGATGATGGAACAAGATAACAAGAGTTTGGAACAAGATAAGTAAAATAAGTACCTAATATAATTTTCAAACATAACTGTTAATCTGTTGTCCTATAAGTAGACCAGTTAAGTAGGTATTATGGATGCCAGTATTATCATATAGCCGCTATAAGAAATTGGTTTAGTCCTAAATCTTGAGTAAATGGGGAAATTAAAAATGAACTGATTCTAGAAAATCTCTGGTTTGTCACTATGTACTGTTATTGCAATTTGCAAGTCTGAACTTCTGAAGTCATAGACTTGGTCAGTGGTCGAGTCACACAGCTGTATTACAACATACTAGCCAAAAGTTAAAATTTCACTTAGCTGTTTGGCTCAGTACACAACAAAAACACGTTAATTGGATGTGAACATATATATTTAACTGAAAAAAAAAAACGGATTTGCGATGAACGTGACTTTCATTTCCAAGTTCCAACTCGTTAAATTTTATATTCAAGTCAGCCTTAGTCAGGTACCAGATCACGAAATTAGAATTTATACTAAGTAGGTGAAGGGCTGAAGTGAAGGCCAAGCCCTAATATTTGCCGACAAATTATTGGCTAAACTTCATGCGTAAATTGATGTTATAGCTATTAACCGAGTACAATAATGAAATTATAAGCATGCCATGAATTTCCGCTTCAGAACACAGTCGTCTGAATCTTTGTTAGAACATCGAAAAACACCCTATTATGATCGGATGCGGATCCAATAACATCAGGCACAAGTGTGGACAAACAAAATAACTTCCACGCAAGTAAGCAGACAGCGAAAGCGTAATTGTAAACGCATGACTGTGAACATAGAAAAATTTAGTTTACACTTTATTCGGAGCTAGGCATAGCATTATGTGTTGTTTACATTTTTACCTATGCTTAATAATAGTTTAGTACACTTTTAACTGTGTTTTGGATTGCAAATAAGTAAATAATTTTCATATGAAATACCCTGTCACAAAGTTTATCGCAATCATGTAATGCAATATGAGTTGTAAATATATAAATATTGAAAATAATAATCAAATCTCTTCA